AAATTTATGTAATAAATTTCTAAATTAGGATATTAAAAATTATGTTCTTATACACAGACTCGTATGGGAGTTGGGAAAAAACTTTAATCAAACTTAAATATTGCTCTTAAAAATGGTTAGGATCGGAAAAATAATATTGTAATTAAAGAATGAAAGGAAATATGGCAACACTGCAGATGTTCTGTCATAATCTTCAATTTGACATGTCTCACTACCATACACTGAACTTCTTGATAGTTATCATATGGATTCTCGATTTGCACATTTTCTTTATCTCATCAAACCACATTCTGTTTCATAAGCGTTTTATATTGCTTTTCAGTCATTACTTTTCCTTCGTATCTTGGATGTTCATTCTTGTTTACGGTATACGCTCTAAGCACAGTTGACAGTTGACCCAACTTTTACCACCACCACCATATTGATGTGCAATGTTGCCAGATTTCAGCCATAGTTTTACAAGCTCTTAATGAATAAATAGACACTTTTATTCAAATAAAAAGTTAATTGCCGTGCATTAAACACGAAAAATATATGCGGGCTAATATGTGTTGTATAAATTTCATTCGCATATTTAGTCCGCCCAAATTCGTTTATGTAAGGTTGGTACTACAACGAAACTCCCGTGTATAAACATAAGCTTCCCTCCCGCACGGCCTGCCCCGCAAGAGATCTATCGAACATCCTTAAAAGCTCCATAACAAAAATCACTTACGTCAACCACAGGAAAAATAATTTTGTACAAATTTTTTAAATATTTATCTACATGTTTTTGTGAAAATAGCTAAGCTAAATAGAACTGATTTGTATATAGTATGTACTAAAGTATATTGTTATGGAATAAATAGTTTTAATTATTTTGTTAATAATAATAAAAATTAAATAAAATATCTTTCAATTTAATCTTGACGGAAGAAAAATTTCATAATAATGTTTTAATACAAATATAAGCTTATTATTTTAATACAAGATGCAGTCTTAAATCATGTTTTATACATATTAGGTGCGTTATATTGTTATATTATTTCTATTCTGCATCCTCCTGTTCTATAATTAGATGTAAAACGGTGTATTTTCAAATAAATAAATAACTAAATATGTACAAAAAATATATCAACTTCAGAAACAGTATTAGTTACCATTAAATTATTTCAGTTTGTCCTAAGCTAATCCTACACTGAAAGAAATGCATTTTATTCTTTATTAGAATTCTATATATCATTATAAGACCATTGTATACTACATGTGACAGTTAAACAGGTGAATATTGGATATAAAACGCGTATTGCTAGCACAGTTGTATAGTGACTATAAACCTTATTCTTTATTAAATTATTGTATAACTAGTATACAACGTTTTTTATCCCCTTTACGAAATAATAGCAATAACTGTTATTAAAGTGTTCTATATCGTTATTAGAACATCTAGTACTGGTTATAAGTTTTATAATAATAAATGTATTAAACTGTTGTATACTCTGTATGAGTTAAAAACATATGTCATTAAGTTTTCAGAAATTTTATTGGACAACTAATTACAAGCTAAGGTTCTAATGCAAACATACATAAAACATACTTTTAAGCATTAAAAATGATGACAAATCGCTCCCAAAACTGTCCAGTTTATTTTCTTAGCAACGATGCATCCGTATTTTCTTGTATTACATAAGAATTTGCACTATAACTCTTCCACCTTAAGAATGAAGCATCCCCAGAAAGGTTGAGCTTCTTTCCATATAATTTTATTTCCTCTGGTTGATTGATTTTATACCCATGCTTTTCTTTGTCACCGTTAACCTTCTATTCCTCCATAGGTTTGAATACAGTCTAGTATGTGTAGTTTTAATGATAACTTGCAATAAGTTTTAAATATTGAAAAGCCTAACTTACTACAGTAAGTTTTTACAAGTCATTCTTGTTTAATTCAAGAATATCTTTACTATTTAACCTAGTAATTTAGTAGTTAACTAATTGTGTTTACTATCACATTTTAAATGTTTACTGATGATTTATGCCTTTTAATATTAAAGTAGCGTACATTTAGGATTATTTTTTTATTTTATAATTTTACACATGAACAATTTTTTCCATTTTTTTTATCCCTTAAATTTTCATTTGTTTTAATTTGATTAAAATAATGACCAAATTAAATTGATAAAAAAATTAAGATTAGAGGAATGTTTAAAAAATTGAGAACACTCATCTGGAAATATTTTTTTATTAAAGAAAATATTTTAAGAAATAAAGCACGTTTCATATTGGGCATTAGCGAAAATGTAAAGATAAACATAGACTATTTATTTCATAAAGTTCAAGCTGAGGTGAAGTAAAATAAGTATAAAATATAAGAACTTACACTGAAAGAAATGGGCTTATTAAACTGTTTAACTAGAATAATGTGTATAGCGCATATTAAAACTTTTATAACCAATATACAACTTTTATTAAAAAAAAAGCAATCATCTCCATACTCATTATTCAATCAGTTTAACTGGAAGGTGCTTAATACACCTTATGCATCTATGAAATAAAGGTTATAATGAATTACTTATACATTATTAGGTGTTATAGACCTTATATTCCAATTGTATAGTAGGGAAGATTTGTTGTATAAAGACCAGTATCCGAATTTGTATATAACAATTGTATTAACAGAATTATTCGTTCTTATACTGAATATGTTTCCGTTTTTAACGTGTAAAACGCATCTTATAATGGTTAAGTGATCGTCACCTCTCGGTGCATAATCGGTTATGATCTTTGTTAAGTTATATTCATAGTCTTGTAATAATAATCATATGTCAGACCCGAGAGCGAAGTGCGCCGACTCAATAAGAAACCTGGCTATTCCAGCCGCTGATTTAGGGTTCGCCGCACGAGCTCATACCTTCTATGATTTCAGTAGCATGCTATGCATGAAGCAGAACGGTACTCAACTATCTTATACAGTCCACTTTTATTGTCCATAGATGTTCAATCATTGTCAAAATAAACACACAAAACCACAATGTCTTTATTATCTTTACTCAAGAAGAGAAAATACAACAATCGTAAAATTTCCGACAGTCCGCTGTGCATCGACTTACACACGTCTAGTTTGATGAAAATGGACAGTATATGCACATGTTTTGTGGGATACATGATCATATCACGTTGTGTGAAATGGAAAATTATTATGTAAGTATATCTAACTGTTTTATGGCTTGTAATTGTTTTGTTTTTTCAAATGTAAATCTTGTCTAAATCTTAAAAATTATTATTTTGTAGGTCCTATTAGAAATCGCTGATGTTAAGTTTTACATAAGATGGATGAACAGAAGGTGACAAAGAAGAGCATGGGTATAAGATATAGAAACTTCATATTACAAATAAAAATTTTGTAATTATAAAAATAACTTCTTTCGTCTTTGCGCATGAAAACAACACACAAGGCAAATGGGTCTAGTTCAAATCAAACTAATTAGACATTAAAGTTAAATACGTTCGTTTCCTTTTAACTAATTGGATAAGTTTGATGGTAATTAATAAAGGCATATTAATATTAAAATAAACGTTAGGTACTTATTTATTTCAGTGCATTTGTAGCAGTAATGTAAGGTTATGTATTGTTCTATATAACAAACAATTAAGTAATTTAAATTTATCGAAAAGTTTGCGGGTTTATAATTACAAAAATGGACATATTTTCAGAAAATAAGTTAAAACGTGACTGTCAAAACTCCTTGAGAGCTGTTTCTATCAGACCGCCCTGTACATACGGATTGCCTTCACCATTATATCTCAAAGTCAAAGTGTCAATCAAACTAATCTGTTTTTTTAATGTCAGCGGGTATAATGGCTGCCGATATGGATATACCTGCTTCCAGATAGGTGTACCTGTTCGTAGTCATACTCGTGTAGAATCTGCAAGTAATTTGAGGCGATTTTTTGCGGTGGTCGGCTACCAGGCGTGTTGCTATCGGTTTCTATTATCTCTATTTTTAATATTTTCCATAAAAATCCCCGTAAAACCACACGTTCTCAACGGTGAAACCATAAATAATCGGCGGATACTAAATATTCATAGGTTTTTTGGGTGGAATACGGGGGCGACGCGAAATCAACACAAAATAAGAAACTGTATGCGTTGCTCTTACGGAAAATGGGGAAAATATTGTACTCTCTAGGAGTACAGAGATGGAATAATAAAATGTATTACAGATAACTGTAACATTCGTGTTCAAAAAAGGCAAATAGTACTTACAGTTTTGCACGCATCTATAAATTTCACTTTTTAAATAGACGATAATAAATATATCCTTAAACGTAATGGATATCATAAGTAGGTATTAAGGACAGAGTTACATATTAATATAACCATCCAGCATAACAAAATAATTGAATAAATGGGCCTTTCAAGTTAAAATGACGAATATCTGATGTGTAGAATATAAATTCAAGGTTACTCATGAGTAAAATTATTTTGGAGTTGAGTTTTGAGTAAACCTTAGAATTTAACAAAGAAATAAGCTTATCATCACAATTTTTAGTTAATTAAAAGAACTAAAATGTGTGGGAATGAGAACATACTGTGTAAAAATCAGTCCGCTCGATGTTTATGCATTTCTAAGTAAGGGAAACACAAAGTTGTGTACATACGGATACCGACGCGCAGTGAGGACTAAGGATGCTTAACATACCAGATATGCTCAGAAAATAAACGAACTTTTTTAATTACGCGCCACTGGAGATATATAGCGAGTTGGCAGCATTGCGTTGCGCATAACCGTCACTGGAACCACATGTTCTTGGAGTGTTGATATCTCATTTATTTTTCGTGGTACCCCCCCGACATACATACAGTATGTCTGGGGTGGTGGAAAATTGCTTTTCCATCGCGGCACTTAGGCCTTATTATGCCCCTTGTACACCCCCCTTCATTATTCGAGTACTTTTCTTCAAACCTTCCTATTACTACACGGGTCTTGAGTTACAGAGATTTGTTGCTCTATTATTATTACCATTTTATCGGGGACCTCACGCAGGCGAAAGGTGTTGAGCGACCCAGGTCTCCGGTAGGCTGCCACAGCCACATCCCGAGCCTGCTGCCTTAGGTCACCCATCTAAGTTCCAGCCTGCGTCCGTGATGCTTACCTCGGCCGATCGAAATCCATCGGCCAAGACACCCGGCTAGGCGATCCCCTATTTTTCGCGGTACTGTTATTTGAGTGCAACGTGACAATTTTTTAAATATGCGATTTTCTGGAACAACGTTGCAGCATAAAATTTTGCGTGGAACTGAGGCAAACATTCACGGAAACGCTTCAACTTTTGAAACAAGCTTACGGAGATGATGCTCTGGGTCGTACGCAATGTTACGAATGGTTTACATAATTTAAAAGTGGTTATCAGTCAATTCAAGATGATCCTCGACCAGGAAAGCTTTCGACTTCAACTGATGACTCTCACGTTCAGAAAGTCAAAAATCTGGTGCGTGCAAATCGTCGCTTGCCTGTCAAAGAAATTGCAGAAGAAGTCACCATCTCAATTGGGTAATGCCATGAAATTCTTGACTGAGTTGTAGCAAAATTTGTTCCTTGTTTGATCATCGAACAACGGAAAGAAAATCGTGTAGACATTTATCAATAGTCCATGGAACGAAGAGAAAAATAGGGTTAAACCTTCGAATACTTTCGGATAGATTTTTATGAATATTTGGAATTAAGCTTATTTCACCCTGTAGATGAAAAGTATGCGCTTATTATTTTTAGGAGATGAAAACCATCCCCCTTATGCTAAAAAACTGAATAAATATTGTTTTATATTGTCGGTTAACCCTAAAAAACCACCCTTAATGATAAAAATACTATAAAATTAATAGTTTATTTGCTAAAAAGCTAAACATACTGCAAAACTGAATATTTTTAACACGTTATTTTTGAGATTTTTGAGGTTAAAGGGTTTGAAAAACATGACCTTCGCCTTCAACTGCAAACTTTCTAGCAAAGACATCTCCGTTAGTTTTTATCCGACACAAATCAAAAAAAAAAAAAACAAAATATTCTGTAAAAAAAATCTAAACCTTGAATATTTTTCGTATATTTTTTATTTTTAGTTATTTCCAAAAATATGTCTTTTTGGAATAATTAAAAAAAATTATTTTCAATCAAAAACATGAATTCTAAACCGCTTAAACTTGTATAATATATTGTTGGCACATAAATATGTAAATTGTAGAAGTATTACCTTTAATTTTAATCTCGAGAAAAATTCATCAGTTTTTGTACCGATTTTTTTTCCGAAAAAGCGAACAGTTTTATTTTGATCATAACTCTCTTAATTTTTATGTAGGTAATGACTTAAATTAAAGTCAAGTTCATTTTAAAGATTTTTAAAGTAGTTTTAAAAAATGTTCTGCGCATTTTTCTTGAAAAATATAATTTTTTTAGTTATTTTATGTTAAATGCTTCCAATTTAGTTTCTGGTGGACATGAAATTATCTTCAACCAGCCGTACCTATATCTCAACACCTATTACACCTACATAAAAGAAAAAAATTCAATCTCTTTATTTTTCTATAAGCTTCATTTTCTTGGTGCTGTTTTTTTTTTCATAGAATGTCTATTTTCCGAGTTATTCGAGAAAAACTACTGAAAAACGTCTCATTTTTAATAAACAATGTACATTTTCAATCACCAATAACTCAGGAAAATGTTGATTTACTGAAAAATGTTCGTAAGATACTTTTTGCTTAAAATTGATTCCTTTATCGATTTCTGGGGTTATTTTCAATAATTTTTTACCCCCTAAAGGGGTGGCTTCCACCCCCTGGGCAAAAGCGCTAATCGGCACTATATAACTTTTGTTTCTTGAGCTATTTTCTACTTACAGTCCAAGTTTCACGTCAATCGGTTCTATCCGAAAGAATTCGGAGGGGAACCCTTCGTTCCCTGGACCACAACAACTTGAACAATCCAATGACGATAAAACATTCATTCAAAAGATCATAACGCGAGACGAAAGCTGGGTTTACGGTTACGACATTGAGACAAAAGTTCAGTCATCACAATGGATTGGCAAAGGATCCCCACGCCCCAAGACAGCACGTCTGTCTCGATTCAATGTCAAAGTGATGCTCACTGTTTTTTTTCCGATTTTAATGGAATTGAACATTTTGAATTCTTGCCTTAAGGTGAAACAGTAAACTGTATGTAATATCAAGGCCTCAAGGCGTTTTACAGTGAAAAATTCCGCAAAAAGAGACCAGAGTTGTGGCGAGACAACTGATGGTTCTTCCAATGTGATGATGCACCCAGACACTCAGCTTTGTTTGTCAATTCGTCAGTTTTGCACCAAAGATTACTATCATCCCTCACTCTCCTTAATCGACAAACTTGGCTTCTTGCGATTTTTTTTTTATTTTTGAAATTAAAATCAGTGGTGAAAGACGCCGTTTCCAGACTATTGATGGCATCAAAACAAATTCGTCACAGACTTTAATGGCCATTTCAAATGAAGCTATCCAGGACTGCTTCGCAAAATGGAAACACGTCTGGGAAAAGTATGTGAATAGGGGAGAGGAGTACATTAAAGGATACAAATACTGATAATATAGATATAAAATTAATAATAAAGATGGACAGAGCACTTATTATTTCCTTGCCATTGTCACTGTCCCCAATTCATCAATGTATATAGTATAAATAAATTGTTTTTAATCATTTTTAGGCAGTTAATTTCATATCAAAGAGAAAATAGGACCAGCCATTAAATACACTAGCCCCCATTCGCCAACCCATACACAATGGTTAGTATAAAGTGTACGCAACATTTTCAAAACCTGAAAAAAATGGCGCACCATTTTTTTTTGGCAATAAGGACGCTGCTCCCTATCTATGTCTTTGGTGACATAAAAAAGTTATTTAGAAGGACCATCCCGTATTAGACCATGCATTTTTTTAAATGTAACACGTAAATAAATCACTTAGTTTGTTTTTGTTCCGTGGACATTTCTCTAGGTAGGTACTACTAGGACTAGGTACTCGTGAAAAATGGAAACTTCAAATGTAAAACTAAATTTCCTACCAGAAATCGAAACATTTTGACTAAGAAATAGCGTGAAATTACAACAAATAGCTATGCCCTTCGTTCCACCCACTATTCACTATAAATATGAGTGCAATTTTACACAAATCACACTCAACAATAATGTCTCAACTTTTGTCCACCTAAATTTATATAATTTTTATTTTGTTAATATGAATAGGTACATCTGCAATTCTATGAGAAAAGCAGACTTGGTTGCAATGAGATTAAAATGTTTTATTGAACAAAACCGATAGATTTAGCACAAGATATAAGATAACTAATCGGATGGAGCATGTAGCTTATCACACCTACTGTACCTACATTATATACAATTTTTTGAACCTTGTAGTCACTGAATATTAATTGTGACTTCAAAAATAATGGCATTTGGTTATTATAAATCCACTCGACATAATTCTTGACTGGACAGGAGATAATGCAGCAATGGGAATAACAGACAAACGCATATGACGGATGGGATAAGAAGGAGCAGTATCCGGTGTCCCAAAATTCACGCAAGATTTGAATTTTGCGCCATTTGTGAGGTAAAGAGTGCCAATAAAAAAAATACAACGTGACAGCTAATAGTTCTGGTGTTTTCATTATTGAACAATATTTTAAAATTAATGAAGATGTCAAACTTACAGTTCGCAATCTTCGTACAAAATATGATCGGGATAGTGGTTTAACTTCATCAACTGTGAAGAGATCAACTGAAAAATTCAGGGAGACTGGATCAATTAGTAGTCTTAAACACTCTAGCCGTCCTTCAACAAGTCGTTCAACACAAAACATCGAAGCAGTTCGTGAGAGTGTTGCTGAGAGTCCCGGAACATCAATTCGACATCGTGGTCATGAATTGGACATTTCGAGAAGCTCTCTACAGCGTATTCTCACGAAAAATTTGCATCTTCATGCAAGTTCAATTGACTCAAGAACTGAAGCGTACTGACTACGCAGAGCTAAGAGAGTTCGTTGAATGAATTTTGGAACAAGTGGAGGCTGATTTTTTCGGACAAAATCGTCTTCAAAGATGAGGCTCATTTTCATCTTGATAACTTCGTTAATCGACAAAATTGTTACAAGTGGGGTTCAGAAAATCCACGAGTGATTGTTGAGAAACATATGCATGCGTATTTTGTGCTGGAGGCATCATCGGGGACCATTCTTCTTCGAGAATGAGGTTGGTCAGGCAATAATAGTCGCGACATGATAATCCAGGTTTTTGTGCCTAAATTGCATTTCCTGGTCGTGTGATTTCCCGTTTTGGTGATCAGAATTGGTCACCCAGTTCATGCGATTTAACGCCGTTGAACTTTTTCCTTTGTTTTTTTTTTTGAAGTCTAATATGTATGCCAACAAGTTTCCCGACCACCCACACCTTGTAGGGGGGAATTGACTGCTGTATCAACGAAATTCAGCCGCATTACGCAAAAAGGTGATGGAAATTTTCAACAATAGAGTGCGTAAGTGCTAGCAAAGCCGTAGAGGTCATTTACACGATATGCTATTCCATACATCACCCTATAGGTACTGTATATACTTCATGAATTAATAAAAAAATTACAATTAAATAAAAACCGGTGTTTTCTATCAAAATTACTTCATGCATGAATTGGGACACCGTTTTACTATTGTGTACCAAATACCTATCGATAAATTATTTCTTCCGGTCTCTGTTAGGCATATAAACAGAAATCAACAGTTCTTTTTTAATTGAACATTTCGTAACTGGTAAATTAAGCCACTTTTTTTTCTTCTCTTTTTTCCCTTACTTCCCTAAAAAAACTTTGAAGTACTTAAATCCTTGCACTAAATGAATAAAGATTTATTTTTCATGAAAATAGTTTTACCTAATCAAATAACTCACATTGAAAAAAGCAGACAAATACAAATACTATTAGAATAGACGAGCAGGTACCAACAAAGATTGCATTAAAAAATGAGAATTTGAGAAATCAAAAATTTGGCATCACGTTTGAGAAACTGGTGATATAATTCAATGGG